ATTACATGGTTTAAGACGAATTTACAGTATTAAAATTAGGTACATATTCGTAATCTCACATCACCAGTTGCTACCGATTATTGCGGCAACCATTTAATTTTCAGATTCAAATATAAAGTTTTCAAAAAGAAGGCACACCCTCGATCTTATTTAAGGTACAAGTGATTAATGCACGTTGGTAAATGAAATAAATTCAAGATTTTAGTGATGGTCTTATGGTTCGGAAGTTGAGTTTCTATGACACTTTCAACCCTGTAACTCTCAATTTGAATATCTTTCAGGAAAAATATTTAAGTAAATCGCTTCTACCATAGCTAATTTCAATTATCCTTATAGCTACGCTTATCATCTCAATTTTACAGTAGAACTTTTTGTTTAGAAACAATTAGTCTTACAATTGCGTTAAAATTCTCCAATATTGAATATTGAGAAAAGACATTCGATTACTCGATGTGCTATGCTATAATAACTTATAAATATTATAAACTAGCTGACCCCGTGAACTCCGTTTCACCTACAATTTAATTTTGAATCTGCAAAATCGAATGCTTTGAAATCTTGCAGATGTTTTAAACATATGATAAGCATAATAAATTTTTATTCAAAATATATTTACTTATCCCCTCCAAAAAATTGATGACGTCAGCCCAAAATTTTGCCAAATGAATCCTATCTAAAATGTCCAAAATAGGATGAGACTATACTTGTGATTTATCATTCCATTCATATTTTTTAGTTTTGCTTATAGGGGGTGTCTCAAAAAAATTAATCACTGAGTCAATTTATTTTATTGATTGAATCAAGAATTGCAAAACTGAATTTTGAAATATTGCAGACGTTTTGAAGTTACTGTTTGACATGGTAGGTTTTCAATCAAAATATATCTGTTTATCAAGCCCAAAAACTTGAAGACGTCATCTCAAGATTTTGCCGAATAAATCCTATCTAAAATGTGGAAAATATCATCAGTATATTTTCGTAATTTATCATTGCATTCATATTTTTTAGATTTGCTTTTACAGTGACTCAAAAAAATATATGGATCAGTCAATTTATTTTAGTGAATAACTCAAGAGTTGCAAAAATGAATACTTTGAGATCTTGCAGACGTTTTAAAGTTATTGTAAGCATGGTAAATTGTTAAGAATATTTATTTATTCCCCCCAAAAAATTGATGGAATGGCTCACTCGATTTTCGCAGATAATTTTGGGAATACAATACAGTTATTTTTAGTATTACACTGCACCAATCCAAGGTGGTATATCTACGTGTTGATAGTAAATGTTGATTAGGTCATCGCAAAATTGTGTGAAGAAAAGACTCAACTCGAAAATGCTGAATATGTTTCATTATACTTTTGGTGCGAAGGAAGTTCTGTCGAAACAACGTTCGATCAATTTTTTGACAATGGTTGATATAAATAAAACTCAGTAGATGCTCATACTCGAAATACGAAGTATCTACTCGAATATCAAATCAAAATATTTCTAGTTTTTCTAGATGATACTAATACTTCAGTAAGTAACAGTTGATGCTCAAGTAGCATCTCGATACAACAAAAAAGGACAACAGTGACAGTGTTCAACCATCAAGGCAAAAATCGAGTCACCAAAATATAAGTTAGTATGGGGTAGACACCTTGAGATGGGAATCTCTATGGCCAGTGTTAGAAAAAACGCACTGCACAATTTATGAATAAATAAAAGTTAATTACATGAAAAGTTTTCGATATTCCTGCTCCTAATGTGTTTTTCAAACTGAATGCACCTTTTGACGACGTTCCACATTCATGAAAGTCACCATGTTTAGTTAAAATTCACTCTTACAACGATCCTACTGATTTTCTAAGCTACTTTACAGACAGCTCAGTTATTTGCCACGCCGATGTTCATTTCTAGATTAAATGCTCACAAAACGCGTAGATGTTCAGTTTGTGTTCGGGGAGATACAATGTTTCCCAGTAGGTACTCAGTACATAGAGTAGATGCTCAGGTATATAAGAGTAATAATGAAGTAGGTACTTCGTACTTCGAATATGAGTATCTACTCAGTTTTATTCATACCACTCAATGTCTCGCTTCAATGTTTGATTATGTTGATTATGAGCACAACGCTGATCAACTTCCATATCCGAATTACCCATGAAATAAATCATTGCGGTTTGCACCTGAGGTAGTTCGTCGCACATTTGATTGACTTCGTGGACCTATGTGAGGTTGTCGTCTTCTCGGCATTTTAATGAACTTCATAAAATGACACAGAATTATTTTCACAGTCAATCAAATCTGTAAATTTTGTCTTGAGAATTTTAAAATATTGAAAACTTCAAATTAAATCCTCGAATAACGGTAAAGTTTGAGGTTTTGTCGAAACCAACAAAGTGAATGTAGGTAAATAGAATGGCAGATCAAAATTAATAAGAAACTTTCGCAATGTGTAATTAAATTCACTTTAACCAAGACTTTTCTTAAAATAAACGACGTTTTTTTTTACGAAAAACAAAGAACGATTGGAAATTCAATATACTTTTCACAATTGCACGGAAGAATTAGTTTTGTATGACACGTCAGTTAGACGACAGGTCCGTCAGAAACGCCAACTATTGAAATTAATTCGAAGTGGAGATTCCCATACAAAATTTTTAGAATTTTTTTATTTTTTAACTGTTCTTTTAAGTTTTCCTTATTTTTTTATTTATAAACCATCTCCGTAATATAAAAAAATCTTCAAATCGGTCAAGCCGTTTTTGAGTCTTAGCGAGACTAACAGGAACAGCAATTGATTTTTATTATATAGACGATTCAAAAATGGGGGTTGGTGGTAGAAAGGTGAAAATTTAGGGTTATGTGTATTTTTTGATGCCAATTCTTAAAAAAATAAAAAAAAATTTGTCCAAAAAATAGACAAAAATTTTTTAGGGTAGGCCACCCTTATCACTTAGGGGTTTAAAAAATAGTTTACAACCTATTGTCAGACCTACCGAATAGACACAAAAAATTTCATACAAATCGGTTTACCCATTTCGGAGAAGTTCGGTTACAAACATTGTGACGCGAGAATTTTATACATAATGCATTATCATTTTAGAACAAATTTCATTACCATAAAAAAGGTTATACTGACTCGACCTTAAAAGATAGACATATGCTGTCGCGGACTTTTCTTTAGAACTTTTAGAGGGGAACAATTTCGTCATACATGATTTTTACGTAACTTTAACCGTTTAAGCAGCGTAAGCAACGGAAGCTGTGAAAGGAGGAATAATTTTCCCGTTTTTCCGAATTTTTCATTGCTACTTCGCTCCTAATGATCGTAGCGTGATTTTATATAGCCTATGTGTAGATATGATACATGGACTATCCAACACAAAAAGATTTTTTGAATTTGAACCAGTAGTTTCTGAGATTAGCCTGTTCAAATAAACAACAGCTTCAGCTTTATTATATAAGTATACATAAGCGTCTAGTTGTAATTTACTTTGAGTTTAGTTTTACCAACTTATTTGGCAAATCACGTCGGCAAATATTTTGTGTGTTTGGGTGTTGTGGGGATAATAGTTTTATTATTCGTATCATAGGAAAGAAATAATAGTATTCACAATATTTTCGAAAAGAAAGTTGCAGCAATGCAACAAGCATAGATTCGTTGGGAAAAACTTAAAAGTTAATGTTTACATATTGTGTTCTCGATTAGAAAAGTCTGCAGCTGTTCAAAAATAAAATTATAGCGTAAATTGTTAAATAACACATCACTGTTCCATTTTTGCTTAGCATTTTATCACTGTTTAATATAAAACATACTTATTTTTACATTTAACAACCGTTTTAAACAAAGACACTGAGATGTAAATTCCAACCGCAAGATTAAGAAAACCACAACACACCAAAAACTAAATAATGTACGACGTCCTCTTAAAATGTAAGTAAATGACCACAATATTGAACGCTTATATTAATTTCAGACCACGACAAAAGTGTCAATGATTAAAAACACCACGCTCCATTTCATAGTAAAAAACAAGGTTCGGAAACACCCAATATAAATAATTAATGCTGCTTGCTCTACTAAATTTGTTTTGGAAGTAGTAATTCTGACGAAACAGAAATAGTAATTTAACGTGTATAACCACGTTTGGTTGTGTCTAGAAATATAAATTCACCTTACATTATTATTATCATCAATAATAATCTGTCAATAAAGCAGTAGACTACGCATCATAAAAACTTACAAAACCTGAATAATGATTCATTTTTGAGGTTTCCCGAAGACATGCGTTAGATCGAGATTTTTTTCTCGGTTACTTACGGTGGAAAATTTGTTTTAACTATTAATTTTATTTCCATTATATGAAACAAATTTTTAAATCTGCGTCTGGTATGGAATAAAAGATATGAACTTTCCTAACCACCAGCTGCTAACCACTAGATAATATCTTTTGTTATAAGACCTAACTGTAGTTAATTAGATCGGATCGTGCTTATTCATTTAAAATTGCAAAGCAGTGTAACATAGTACAAATAAGGGGACATGAAACTGCAGTTCTTCCGGTATGCCGTGTTATTTCTAGCCAGTCCACTTTCAACTCAATTGTAAAAATTCGTTTTAGATCAATATTTTCCAGCATTTGATTTCCGTTGCGATCAGCGTGCTTCACTTTCTACGTAAAGTAGAACCATTTTTGAAGCGACATCGCCTCGCCTTTCTTTTGTATTTTACTTCTCATTGCAACAGATTAGAGATTAATGCACTCATTTACGTAACATACTCACAAAACGGTAACTGGAATACAGCGTCTGCTACTCCCTTTTCCGATCATTGAAAAATTTGGAATTGCACAAGTGAGAATTTGTAATGGAACTGTGGTTTGCGTAATTAACGAGCCTAGTTTGCGTTTTTCCTTAATTTAACATTTACTTATTTTTGTTGATCCATTTCTACTTTCTTGAATATTGTACCTGATTAGCCTTGCGCAAGTAAATAATTGTTAATAAATTTGCAGAGTGGATGAAATCGCTTTAATCGACCTTCCAACAATGCTGAATTTGGTGAGGTACAATACGTGGAAAAAAGGTAAAATTATTTATATCGGACATTCTTTGGGGACAACGGCAGCCATGATGTATGCTTGCGAGTACCAAGAACATGCCAAAGAAGCTGTTAAATTGTTCATATTTATGTCTCCTGCTTACAAATTAAATAGAATGAGGTCGCCTTATCGTATTTTTTTCCCATTGATGAAAACAGCTTTGGTAAGTAAATAAATGTTTACAACTGTTTTAATATTGTCATCATCCATTGTACTTCGGTGATTACTTTACCATTATTGAAAAAATTCAATTGGAGCATCCATTTTCCTTCGGGAAAAAAGGGAGGCAGTACGTCACTGGTCGGGGCCATGTCATTGATATAGTACACATCCTGCAACAATTTATTTGTTATTCAAAATTTAAATAATCATATTTACCTTAGGAAATGGGCAACCTGTTAGATTGGAATCCTTGATAAGACTAAGCGCCCCGAATTTATTTGCTTTGTACAGAGTGCAAATCCCCATAGAAAAATCCACAACGGTTTTTTTAAACTCGTTTCCACGTAACTGCCAAGCGCTTACCTTTAACTGTTTTGATTCGAATTATTACGTACCTATTTAAATAACCAAATAATATATTTTACCCTCACGTGTTCGTCTGAAGTTATGTCTTGAAAAGTCGTGTATGTAACGTTAAGAGCTGCAAAAGTTCGACTTTTCTTGTAAAACTTGAATGAAGTGAATTTGATAAAGCTCTCATCGCATCTTACCAATTTTGCGAAGTCGTTTTGTAAAACGACGCCTGCCTAGAATTAGCTTATTATTGTTTTGATGATTTCAGGAACTTTTACCTTAGTTTCCACAAGAAAACTTATACCGTCGATAATTATAAGAAACAAAATCTGTACGAAATATTTCATTTCAATTAAATTATATTTGCTGGTATTTAGAAAGACTGAACAAGTTTGAAAATCCAAGCATCGCTTGTCTGTTAATTAAAAACTGACATTATAAATGTAATGTTTTTTTAATGTTCCGTGATTGCTGATAAATCTAATCGACAATTTCAGCCAAAATAATTGTCATAAAATTGTTGATTTTTATCAATGTATGACAAATTATTATTTTATTCTGTATTATTTAAATTAAAAAATCGTGTGGTTTTGCAGACTGCCTCGTATTTATTTTAAAATTATTTGTCCTAATATTTCCCTCAGTGAGGTGCAAAGTTTTTGAAAAGATTTTCACACGTTGTCTGATAATAATTCCGACGGCTCATGTAGAGAACCAAAAGAATAAAAAGTTATTAATTTTTTTTATTATAAATAAAACTTTACCACACATTTTCAAATTCTAACCAGATTGAATATAAAAACAGAAACAAATTTTAAAAACCTCATTAAAAAACAAAATGCCAGTAAATTTAAATGTTAAAGGATTTCAAAACCCAGTAATTAATTGCTACATTAATTCCAGTTTGAAAAACTTACAGCGCGCAATTAAAAAAACAGAAAATGAGACCGTGTTTCGTTGGAAAAATGCAAAATGAACCTGAAGTATTTAGTGATGTAAATACCAAGTGGCTATTAATGTTTGTGGCTTTTTTTGTCGGGTTGGTAACATATTTAAAATTTCATGATCTCATACCTGTTTATCAAATTGAAATTTTGCTCATCAAGTTAGTAGTGGTCATCTTCTCATCACGCTTGTTACGCGTCTTCATGTCAAGATTGACAAACTGTTGTGAACTGACAGGGAACATTACTGCCAAGGATTCAGAATTGGCAATAAAAAATTTTGCTTCAATTATTATTAATAAGTAGTCACCCGGTAGTTTTATCGTTTATTTTTTATTTTCTGAAATTTTTGAAACTTATAGTTCAAAAGTATACCTCATAAAGAAAAAAACAAATTTTTCGTCTGTGAAAAACTTATTTCAGAAGATATTCGTTTCTTTTATTAAAAATAAAAAAAAAGAAAGAAAAGCTTCGATTTAGACAGAATTCTTTATACTCAAATCGTATAAATAAAAGCGACAAACTCGTTCGCCAAAAGTCACATAGGATCAAAATAGTATATTAAAGAACGAGTTTCATAAGGCAAATATTGAGGCACGAATTCAAGTTTATAGAACGAGCGGCGAAGCCGCGAGTTATATAAAGGATGAGTGCCTCAATGGCCTTATGAACGAGTTATTTATACTATTTTTTCTACCGCATACGTTTTTTCCCAAAATTTAATTAAAATTTGCATTTTTTTTAATGTGGGGACTTTTGTCGTGGTTGGTGATGGGTTGGTCTGACACTAACCACGAAATATTTGAGGTTCGAATTTTCACAACAACAATTGTAATTCGCATCAATTCGAGTTTTCGTAATTTAAAATTGGTTAAAATGTCTTGCGAAGAAGTTACGCGTCCGGAAACGTGAGAAATTTTAAGTTTAGATTTGCCACTGACATTCACCTGACATTTCTCGTCATTGCTACCAATCTTACCGATCTAAATTACAGCAGATCTATTAAAGAACGCCTTTCGGCTATTAACGAACTGCTGTGACGTCATTTGCGTGCGTTAATAGCTCTATTAGAAAACCAAAAAACGTGGGCGGTAGAAAAATGTTTTTATCTACAACTGCTTTATACATGTACATCCCATTTCTTCTATTATCTGCCACAACATTTTCCCTTCTTTGTTATTTGCTTTATCTTTTGATCCTCTTTTCTCTCCCTTTTCTTTATCTATTATTCTTGTCCCCTTGTCGCCCAATCTTGCGTTAAAATCCCCTCCTATAAGTATTTTTTCATCTCCTTTTTCTTTTGTTTCCTTTTCTATGTTTATCTTGGTTCCCTTCATTTTCTTGTTATAAACGGTTATTATTTCCCATCGATTGTTATCCAGCTGTATTACTTTCTTCATTAGTCCGTTTTTATTATTACTTCCCTTTTCCAATTCTTGCTTTTTTTTTCGAATTCCCATTACTATTCCCCCGCTTGCTCCCCCCTTTTTCTTATCCTTTGTCGCCCCTTGACACTCCCACACATATTCTTGTGGTAGTGTCTCTTCCAATTTCTCCCAGTTTTCTCTTTGTAGGTACCCAAATCTCTACTAGCCCCACAACATCAAATTTTCCCACGTAGTCCCAGAACTCCTTTTCCTTTTTTTACAACCCTTGGACATTCCAAAACAGTACCTTCACCCATTTTTCTCCTAATTTTGTACCAGCTTTCCTTTTTCCGATTTCCCTATCTGCATCCTTTATTCCTTTTCCTTTTCCTTTTCCTTTGCCTTGTTTGCTTCCCTTTTTCCTCGTTTTCTTCCTTCTCTTTTGGCTCTTTACTAAAAATTTTCTGCCTTCTTAAGTCTGCCCTCTTCTTCATTCCATTTAAAATTTCTGCCGTCTACAGTTAACTTTTTATATCCCATTCGAACCATTTTTCCTTTATTTCTCTCTTTTGTTGCCTCTTTTTTATCTTGTTTTGAATTTTTCTTTCCGTTTTCGTCAGATCATCATTTATGTAAATTGACGACCCTTTTAAGTTCTTCTTGCTTTTCATTACATTTATTTTTTCTTCTCTGTTTCGAACTCCACTACATAAACTTTCTCTGCAATTTTGTACGCGCTTTTAACTTTACTCTCTACTTTGATTTTCTCTTCTAAAAATTTTGTCACTTTTCGAATTATCTACTTCAGCTCTCCTGTTTCTATTTCCAATAAAAGTTACAAGTATCCAAATTACTAAAATTTATATCAAATTGACACTGAATTTGACGCTGAGGTCAAGGCAGACCTTTTATTATCTTATTAATGATTGTTGATGATGGTTTAATGATTCTTCTCGAAATTTCGAGTTTATTATTCAGAGAATCCTCTATGTATCCTTCCACAACACAATTCGAACACTAGCCATCGTGTCTCTTTACAACTGTTAAATCTGCCACAGAGTCTGCTAATAGAGTTGCACTCGAACGCCTAAAACTATAACCCGTGTATTCTTCTGGATTTTGAAGGCCCGGAAATTGTCAAATTTTTCTGGGAATTGTTAAAAATGTGTTCAATCTTATAGCTTGCACCATGTATTTTTTGTTCTTGTAATTGATGAACAACAGTTTGTGTGAAATCTTTTAAGGGCCGTAATATTTTGTACTTCGAAAAATGTCAATAGCAGGAACAGACTTACTTCTATTAATTATAATAAATGTTCTGGGTTTATGAATCTTCGTGTCCGGAATTTGGATTACAAGTATGCTAACGGTGCCTTCAACATCGTCGACTGACATATGAATCTCTCCATTTCTTCGAATGTGACGACCTTAGATTTCTTTGATCTGTGCCTTACAGACTGTTGTTTTAGGAAAGCTGATACTTGATGAAATCTATAAGTTCTATTACAATGTATAGTTTAAACCTCATAAATAATAATCATTGCGATGCGATGTCACAAACCTGCTTATATCAGTATTTTCCTTCAGAGATAACATTTTCTTCAGTTTGGAATAATACCACCATAGTGGCGAAGATTTAACATTTTAGATCGTTTCGAAATATAAGCCAAAATTATTCTTTTGTCTACTTCTTTCGCTTCCTCCATTCACAAAAATTCTGTTTTTCATATGCATGCTTGAATTTTGCTGGCACCACTTTAGTGATAGCTTTCAAAGCTTCGTCCAGGACTGCTGAGGTTACAAAAACTTCATTTTCGTCTTTATCTTCTAAAATTCGAGACATTTTTGTCTCGTAAAAACACAAATGGCAAACAACTTTAGAGTAATGTAAACTAGTTGTTAAACTGGTTGTCACGAAAATTAGTTTTGCAGTCTCCACGATTTCTCGATTGAGATTTTGATTTTATGCATAAAATTCGTCAAACTAGAATAAAAACATACAGGGTTATTCAGCTAAGATGACCTATTTATGTTTTTAACCACAAAAATTGGTCGGTTTTCTCGTTATTATCGTAAAGAATGCATAGGCATTTTTCTGACCCTGACGTTTCGATACATGTAGCAAAGTTTGATAAAATTTAATTTTGAAACATGTTTTGTAATCCAGATTCAGGTGGAATCGGTATTTCGGGTTGCCTATTTTAAAAACATAAATGGGTCATCTTAGCTGAATAACCTTGTATATATGCCGCGTGAGTTAAACATATTTATTCACTCAAAGAAATGATCTCACTCCCACTGCGTGCTCTGGATCTCAAGATCTTCTCATTAATAAACGTATGTTTAATTCACTTGTCGTATAATATTGTTACGATGAGCGGCGTGGGTAAAAGTCAACATTTTTTTTCTTAGTAACTCGAATTTACACGACTAATTACATAGAAATTATGTATAAAATAAACCCGCTCCAGGCTTGTCTTTATGCGAACGCCGCCCGGCCGCCGCACATACTAGAAAGGCCTCGATAAACCCATAGACGTCGTACCGGGGCGGCGTATGGGTTTATTTCGTAACAATATTTATTAATGTTGTTGTGGTTATTATTTTATTTATATCTGGCGATTTTGTTACAACTCTGTGTTTGGTAAACTGTTACCTAAGTAATTTAACTGAATATATAAAATTCGTAAAATCTTCATAAGTTTTTTGTTATATAATCAGAAAACACCTATCTTCATTTTATTTTTGATATTCTTCTTTAGATTCAAACTCACAGCTTCATCGAAATACAATTATAGGTGAACATTTGTTTTGATAGAACGGTAAGTTATATTTGAACAAAAGATTCACAAAATTATACTTAACTGTAGAAGCTATTTCTAATAAAATTGATTTCATTTTCCTCAGAAGTTAATTGGGTGGAAAGTTATGATAACCATTAGACAATTTCTTGAAAAATACCACACAGAAATATTTTGTGTCGGTCCTACAACTGTACTAGAAATCCAAAATTTTTCAAAGTTTTTAATTGAAAGGCCATTGCTTGAATTATATTCATGAAAAGAATTTAATGTAGGTATGTATCACGTATTACATATACATGATACATACATATTTAACGCAATAATAAGTATGTAAATAATCAAATATTTAACGATTTAAAGTAAGGCCTACAATCATGACAATATCCAATATTAACAAGAACTTACTCTTCTCGTCTTTCTAGCCTGAAAAGATTGTTAAGTGAGAATCCCATATCCTAAATAAGAGTGTACCAGGTCAGAAAATGTAACTTTTAAAATATTATGTACGATGGACAAAATTGGATAAATTTTTCTTCGCAAAAATGTATGTTTCAAAATTTTACTCACTATGTAGTTTATATGTTTATGTCATGGTAACGTTGTGCCTAAAGTAATTCCGAAGAACTTGGTGAATTTTTTTTAGAATTTAAAAATGAATTATTTCTCTTTAGAGAAAATCACGTTAACCGATTTATTTTTTCTAACAAACAATTTATTAGCTAAAAATCAGAGCTTTGCATGAAAGTGTATATTCGCTTTCGCATTCGCTTTTTGACTGTTAGTAGTGACTTAAACTTTATTTGAAGGATAGGACAGTGTTAGCTTAGTTTCAACTGGATTGAAATTATAAAAATTTATGTATGCGTTCATAAACCATCCATCCGATCGCAATGCAACTTTGGTGAGTTGTTCAAACGTCCGCCAAGGTTTTTGAACTAATACAATCATTTTCCAATGATTCGTTGGTGTGGTTTCTGCATATGAGTGCGCATGCTCGGTAGAATTGAACTGACACAAATCACATTTCGATTGCCGTTGACACTAGATAGGTAGAAAATAAATTATACGTTATCACACGCATTACTTTGTAATTAGTTATAACGTTTAATACTTAATTGATCAGCATGTCCCAGATAAATTGTTTTTGTAAAAAAAGCGTTTTCCTATTTACAGCACTTACATAAATTTTTACATAACACTGGTTTTCTTATTATTGTACAAAGTTCTATTTCTACTTGGTTAAGTAATGCAGGGTTTTTTCTTAAAACAAATAAATTGCCCTTTCTATAAACAAAAACCTAATTTACAATGTTCTAGTTTTTTAAAAAATAGTACACTATGACTTGTAGTTTTTATTTTCTTTGAACCTATTTATTTATTTTTAACGCATTGATTGTTCTTTTGAGCGCATATGTTTATCTTCCCTCTTTCTGATAAATGAATAATATAATATTTGTGTTAACCTCGTTTTCTTTTTTGTATTTTAATCAACTTCACTTTTCTTGTTAAGTCTCTGTTGTAAAATTTCTATTTGTAGTAACAAAAATAAAATATATTAGGCCGATTATAACTGGATGTTGTCGCTTTGCATTAATTTCGAAGAGTACGGTCTAACATTTTGTTGTAGTTATACATTTTCTTTTGAAACGTTTTCCGTTACTGAAAAAAATCATTGTAAAAACAAAATAAAAACAGGAACATTTTCATGCACCATTTGATAATTTTCAAATATGATCACCTGAATTTTTTTCAAAAATTTTAATAAAAAGTGTGACTTATGGTGATTCATTGCCTATTACCAAAGTGACGGGAACATCATCGGTAAGGAATAAATATCCTCAAACTTGCGGCTATAAGTATATTGTTTACTACGTAATGATCAAAATTGCCACAACATGTTAAGCTGTAACTTTTATTATTATAAAATAGCTTTCTTGCATTTCTTTATTCATGTTTCAGTAATTATAGTTTGTCCTTTTGTACACCCATTCTTTATTTTACACTTTCCTTGAATCGTTATATTTTATCCATGTTATTATTTTTCTTGTAAAAGTCTCGTGTTTTTCGTAATATTTACAATTTATGTTAAAAAAAAACTGCATAATATTATATCAAATGCCAGTCAAGTACGAGTATATATTAAGTCATGTACGGAATAAATGCACTGTATATACACTCAGATAGTAAGAACATTAAATCTTTCACCTTTTTTTGGCCCAGATATGACAACGAATCCGAAGTAGTTGTAGCGATTATAATTTTTGTTTTTAAGGTCAATTTACCCACTTTAAAGTCTAACAAATCCTGTTGATTATTTTTTTCATATTTATTTACTACCGTACATTTTCTGTCTATTTTGTTTTTTTTTTTAATACTATGTGACCTATTTGACAATTCTTAACAAGTTAAAGTATAGGGTCTTTTTTTTATTAATTAAAAACAGTAAAAACTAATGCCGAATCTAAAATAATATTGTTGATGAGTAAATAGCAAGGTCTGTGTGACAAAATTTGCAAATGACTAGTTGAGTGCGGTCATCTCTTTTTGAATTTTCTTTTGTCTATAAACGTCCAACAACGCTTTCAAAAATTTTCGAACATTATTAACCTAGAAAAAACGTCTAAACAAAGGAAATGAAGCAAAAACAGCTATAATAAATAATAACTGTTGTAGTATAGGACGACTTAAAATGTTATAAAATAATTAGTAACAAAAATTACAAGTGAAAGATATTAGCTAGTATCTGATCTGTTACGTTGTTAAATTAACAGCAAATGCCTGTTATAAACATCAAGTAAAATCACACAACAGGTGCGGAAATCTTTTCATGGATTCTAAAGTAATAATTTCCAATAATGTCTGTGTCACGCGCTGCTGGCGTTACACACATCAAAAAGTACTAATATAATCAAGCAAATTACTAGTTGGATTAATCGCATAGACACATAGTATATGATTATTGATGTAAAGATTTATACCTTTTCAGTCACTCTCCAACAACTTGAACGTTGTACAAGTATTTTCTCGAGGATACTCTAACCAGCTTACACGACCGACATGTCTCGCTTCCACATCTTTAATGCTGTTATGTCTCAATATGATCAACATGTTTTTGGGTCCATTCACGCAAATCGCTCCGGTAAATGTGAAAAGCTACTTTTTGCCCTAACATAATTAATTACTATTCGATAGGAAACCATTCCAGTGCTTTTTAACCAGTTACCAGGCGGCACTTCGCTAAAAACTCTCACTTACCTATCAGAGGCTGTTAGAGGTAATTTTAGAAAATTTGATTATGGTGGAAGAAATTTGTTCATGTACGGAAATTCAACTCCTCCTGAATACAACATCTCTAGGATTGAGGTTCCGGTGTTTATTTTTTACGCATCGCATGACTGGGCGACGTCTAAACCAGTAAGATTTTTGTACATGTAACAGCCTTATAAGAGAAGGAATTTTAATTTTTTTAGGACGCTATGAATTTATATAAGGAGTTGCCCCCGGCTGCTAAATTTGGCATACAAGAAATTTCGAATCTGAGATTTAATCACTTTGATTTTCTTTTCGGCAGAAACGCTAAAACTTTAGTATACGATAAAATTATTCAGATTATGGACAATTTTCCAAATAGGGTTACTTTTAGGTGATTACATTGTACGAATTGTGATTTTTAAATAATATAAGAATTGTAAAGTAAATATGAAGTTAATAAATATTTCATTTGTATTGAGTTCATCATTCTTTCACGATAAAGCATCCATGATATGTAAGTTTGCGAAATAAGTCAAAGAAAACAGTAGGCGCAACTTTTCTAGATAGGTTGTACTATTTTTCTTATAATATAATTATTTATACTTTCACTGTACGAAAAAGTTCGTTATAGAAACACTGACTTTTTTTCTGGTATTTATGTGTGTGGTTACCATTGAATCATGTATTTTAAGGCAAAAATTAACAGAACTTTCATCACTTTGCGTTTTCAGATATCGCTGTACCATAAAAATTTAAAGGCGCAAAATAAATTAGAGCTGTATTTTTTCTTTTAATCAAAAGCATTATAAAGCGAGTTTAATCAAATTTGGAATAAAGTAGACTTATAACCATTAACGAATAAGTACTGAAAAAAAGCCCGTCTTAATTTGTTTGGATGTTTTAACTCCATTAATTTTTGTCAGTACCAAATCAGAATATACTCGTACACACACAAAACACGGATTATAAACGCACTAATTTTTGAAACAAGTTTCCAGATAAATTAAGGCGGGACTCATTATTTTAGAGATAATAAAACGCTAAATCCCTGAACACATAATACACTGTTAGGAATTGTTAACCAGGGGTCAAGAGTCCGTTTTGAGAACCGTTCACGAATCTTTGATGGACACTAACAGTTGCCTGAATGTTCGTCGAAAACTTTTCAACCAATATCAACTCCAGCCTAGCGGAGATATCCGGATGAGTTTCTAAAAAAAATATTAAAATAAAAAATTGGTCTAAAGAGTTTAGACAGTACTTCCCTCGCTTTCAGAACCGTTACAGACTCATCATATTTTGCACATTTAAGATAGGATTTATTGAGCATCCTATCTTAAATGTGCAAAATATGATGATTCTGTAGTTGTGATTTATCATTCCATTCATATTTTTTAGATTTACATATACAGGGTGACTCACAAAAAATAATGAATGCTTGAATTTATTTTATTGATTTAATCAGGAACTGCAAAACCGAATGCTTTGAGATGTTTTAAATTTATAAGCATGGTAAAATTTTGATTAAAATGTATTTGCTCATCCCCCCTAAAAATTTGATGACGCCGCCGCAAAATTTTGCTGAAAAAATGCTATCTTAAATGTGTAAAGAATTATGAGTCTATAGTTGTGATTTATCACTGTATTAATATTTTTTAGATTTGCTTATACGGAGTGTCTGAAAAAAATTTATGACTGAATCAATTAATTTTATTAATTAAATCAAGAATTGCAGAACTGAATACTTTGAAATCTTGCAGACGTATTTGTCTTAAACTGCAAGTACTATACAGGGTGTTCCTTTTATCTGTTTACGCTTGACAATTTTTGCCTAGGCAACATATTATACACCCCAGAGACGACTTCGTCCAATTTAATTTTTTTTTCAATAAGCAATCATAGCAATCACAAAGAAAATGACAAAGATGTCAATGCCAAATAATGACAAAATTGAAAAAATTAATACTCGTTTTATTTTAAATTACCCCGCTATAAAAATGTAATACGAAAAAAACATAATAGGCATGCAGTCGTCACATTTCCGACAGGGAGGGAAGTACTGTCTAAATTCTTTAGACCATTTTTTTTTTCTTAAAACTTGCTATACTCCTAATATACATATTGTTAAGCAAGTTTTACTTTAAATTTTAGTACAGTTAAATGGTTTGTGTATGACTTAAGAATACATCTGTATTTTTTTATTTTACAATTTTCTACAATATCAACAATTATCTCTGAAACTCCTTAACAGTGTTGATATTTTGATAGAACATTTACTACCACTGATCTTAGTTTTTTATTTAACATAATATTGAGGACTACAATAGTAGAATAATGAAAGTGGAACTGAACGTAAAATAAAGCCTATTAACAAGTTAAGTAAATGGTATCATACTCTCGCTCTCTCTAAATTTATTAAATTTGTTTTATTCGTTTTTCAACATATCTTGGTTAAACATTCATTATGTTGAGGCCTAATCTCAGGTTTATAAATGCCTCAGAAAATAATGCACTAGTAAAGTGCAATGAACCTCAGACACACGTTCTTAGTGACATTAATGCTCGGCCTACCCAAACGCAGTTTCGGGGAAGATAAATACAACAATGTGTGTCCCACTTTTGAAGATTATTACACCATTAAAAACAATTCTAGATGTTGGTACGATTTTTCTGCAGAATTTGATTGTGTAAGTTTGATTTGCTTTCAGTCACCTATTAAAGAATATATTTTAGCCGACTGTTATAAGACTTAACGGTTATCCTGTAATTGAATACAGAGTTCCAACTTCAGATGGGTTTATTTTGACAATGTTTAGAATTCCACCAAAGAAATCAACTGCTCGAAAATATCCTGTTTATCTGCAACACGGTTTATCATCCACTTCTGATTATTTTGTAAGCATAAAAAGAAATTCGTTAGGTACGTTGATATACGCTTTTATTTTTTATAACATTTTCGTTCTAGCTTTTGTGTTAGCTGATGCAGGTTTTGATGTATGGTTAGGTAATTATCGTGGAACTCGGTATTCTCAGACGCATCAAAATTTGACAGTTTTTGATCCAGAATATTGGGACCACAGGTACTTCTGATAATCCAGAGTAGAAAAAATATACACACAATTTTTGTAGTATGGATGATATAATAACGTATGATTATCCTGCTTTATTTAGTACTATTTTATCAAACACTAATTCCAACGGAAAAATTGTTTACATTGGACACTCACTAGGTACTACTTTGGGTTTAATGTACACAGCTGAGTATCCTGATATTGCCAAAAACAACCTACAAATGATGATATTTATGTCACCTGCTTATACTTTAACAAATATGAAAGCTCCTTACAAGCTGATAGCACCTTTCGGACCGGCGATTATGGTACGTAAAAACAATGTATCAATAAAATAAAATAAAAAATATCATTTCGCAGAATATTGCTCAAGAACTAAAACTACTCAGAATTCTATCTCAAGAAGCAATCACGAGTGGTGTTTTTCGAGTCGTCTGTTTGGAGTCACCACCTTTAATGCAACTGTGCATGCAATTAAACAATCTTTTTTGGGGGCCAAACACACAGTTTACCGCAGTAAGATTAATTGGCAATAACATCTATATCTTTACACTTTTTTATGTAGGATCTTATTCCCACATATTTCAATCATATACCAGGAGGAACATCCCTGAAAATCCTAAATCATGCAGCTGATTTAGTTCTGGGAAATTTTAGAAAGTACAACTACATTGAAGATAATTACAAATATTATGGTAGATTAACACCTCCAGTTTACGATATCAAGAAAATGCAAGTACCGGTTTATATATATTATAGTACTCAAGACTGGGCAACTACAGAACTGGTAAGTTTTTAAAACAGCTTTTCGTAATAGAAAGTGTGCGATATTCATTGAATATTCTGAGCGTTTGCAGAGAAACTGACCTTAACAATGATTTGTGTGAATGAACTAATGAATACCTTTAAAAAATGTAGGTAAAGATCAACGAATTTTGAGTCGTGCACTGTGATAATACTTACTATTGTTAAAGGTATATGAAAACATTGTAAAATTGCGAAATCATCTGAAATCAACTTTAAACATTTTGTTATGTATATAAATTGTCCCTAAAATACGTTTTGTCTTAGCTGTAATATTTGTAAAAATCTCTAGTATGCTGTATGTTGATAAAGATTTTAGTTTTTTCAATGTTGACAAAGCAACTTTTTATTTATGCCATAAAAACTTTAAAGTAAATTATCTTTACAACTTCTGAATATATTTTAAGACAAATGCAGTATTGTCAAAAAACTTTTCCTTATAATTGAGTCGATTTTTAATTCTATTATTATAAAATCAAATCACGTAAAAATTAAAATACAGCCGTTTACACATATGTTGGTTAAGTACAAAGAAGTCCAGCAATGACTAGAGACAGTGCACCTAAATAAAATTTATTTAATCCATAAGTTTCTTGTAAGTACAAAAATATTTAGGTATTATAACAAAATAATTAAAAAAGCAAGTTACAACAATGGACTTTACCTGTAAAACTGGGAGATAATCTTTTACGTCTATGTGATTACTTATAAAGTTATTTCACAAACGTTAGAGGGTAACACGCGCTTGACACACATACAAATGTATTACTTAGTCTGCTAAATACTGGATTTGACATTTGCAAAAGGGTACCTACCCAATTTTGACGACAATTTTTAATGTTTCTTTTAGGATGCCCTAAACCTCTGGCAGCAATTACCAAAAGCTGCTCAACTTGGAATCAGGCGGATAGACCTCCCGGCTTTCAATCACCTTGACTTTGTATACAGCAGAAACGCGAAAATTATTGTTTACGATGAATTAGTGCAAGTTATAAATAAATTTATTAAAAGTTATATTTGTATTATTTCTAAATTTAAAACAAAAGAAAAAGAATTTTAGATGTTTTCAACTTTTTTTAAATCGAACTTCTGAAACTCGTGATTTTTTTATTGTTATTTACTCCGAATAGATAAATTACAATACATCTGTGCTTATGAAGAGTACGTAACGTACGGTGATAACAGTAACAACATGTGCGTATGAGTTATAAGTAAATGTGTCGTGTTTATTAAAAAAAAAACAAAACACGCGTTTCGATTTGTGAAGTATATATATGCTGAAAAATATTATAACTCACTCAGGGTAAAAACTCTACACGGACTCATAAATTACTTGTGTAGGACTATGTTATTTTACACAATTTAAAACCCATTTACTATGTATAATTTGGAAGTGACCTCATCACATTATTGGTGGAGATGATTGGACAAATTTTGGTTAACGTTTTACCGTTTACATGATATTCCTAATATAATTACAAAATTTGATAATAATCGGCCCAGTACTTTCGGAGATTGTCTGTCTAATAAAAACCGGGATGCCAGACCGACAGACAGACAGACAGACAGACAGACGAGCAGATAGACAGACAGACGGATAGACAGACCGAAACGGGAGACCTCCTTCTTCGTACTCTAGGAGTCATGATTGTCGAGAAAACGTAGAAAGTCGACCGACGAACTCGATTACAATATTTGACAATAAAATTGATGACGTCACCTAGAAACGTTGTTAAATAAATTTTACTTTAGATATATTATATAACACTTAAACGTCCTTTTATTTATTTATATACAGGATGAGGCACTAAATGGGATGATTGCAAATAGAAAAGAAATCTTAAGGACTAAAATTGTACTATCGACTGCAGAACGAAATAGACCATCACGTGGTCTGCGCATAATGTCAATTTATTTCGGTCGAGTCCATTATTCGTCCGAAAGGGAAAACGTCTGTTCAGTGAATATATGTATTATTTCTGTCCAATTAAATACATAATAGTATTAGTTTTAAGAATGTAATGTAATGATTATAAAACACCGTTGCTCCACTTTTCTTAATTTTTTTCTGGAATGGAATTATTTTGTAGAAAGATAAACAAAGGTACGCGTTTTGTTGTGGTATAAATAAAACTGAGTCTTAGTATAAGGAGTGGTTTTAATATAAAATTAAGTTAAAAATCATTAAAATCTACATTTAAATTTATAAAAAAATAATTTGACCAATTTTTGTAAAACATGCAGTTTCACTTTCAACAAACCAAAAAAAAATCTCCTATTTCTTATCTGTAGGTTGTTATTTCCAGCCGACCTCCCTACATAGAGATCGCAATGGCATAGTTTAAACGTTTTCAAAAACCGTGTCAAAATTTGTTTTTGATTTACATACATTATTTACATAAGATAGAAGTAACAACCGCCTAAGTAACACAAATTAGAATAAATATGGAGCTTCCGGAATTAACATTCAGCATGCAACAGCGTTTTCACAACTACATATTATATTAATAGTTTTATCGTGATTGAATGGACAAGTTTTGTCATACTTCTGACGTTTTAATAATTAATTACATTAATTCAAATAATTTGCTAACTATTAAGCTATTAGGTAAATACTCATTTAGAACAAAATATAGCAACTAATTTGCAGCGAAAATAATGTATTTCATATGTACTAAAATAGTTATTAAGTTATAAATAATTTTGCTTGTAAGTAAGCAAAATATTGTATTTCTCAGACAATTAACAATCTTGATGGGTCATAATAACCATGAAATTAAAGTTAATTTTTTGAAAATAAAAGAAAAGGGGTGCTAATACAAGCGCTTATGCTATAGAATATTTGTCCAATTTATCAACTGTCTTTTACGTTTTACAGACAAATAAACGAAATAATGGTGAAATCAAATGACGGTCAGATATCAAACACTGTAAATCAAAATTATGGATCTATAAATTTCGAACGGACGCTATACGCATTGTAAGAACGACAAAAACATCACTCATCATTAATCATTGTTCTGGACAAAATTATGTACTTTTGTTAACATTTTTACGCGCAACAGTAACCTGAAACAGCATAAATATCAGTGGCGGCTCGTGCCCTTTTAAAATGAGGGAACACAATTTGATTGGTACGTTAAATATGAAGATATAAAACAGGCTGTTATTACCAATTAATAGACGAAACTGTGTGACGGAAATAACTTGTCCACATACCTTTGATTTTAAATCGTTACTGAGGAGACACACGAAACAAATTGTTGTCCCTAAATTTTTCACTAAAATTTTATCGTCGTAAGACAGAGGACGATTTAGTATTCAATTAAATTCATTATTTTTATTTAAAATCAAACAATTTCACACGTACAGAATGAAAATGAAATCCCACAACTGAGTTACTGCTAGCGGTCACTGTTCGACCAGGACCCGATTCCAGCCAAATACAGCGACTAGACGCATGGTTTCTATGGCAACGGTGTAAACAAAACGTCTAAATGAGTCATGATTTGGTCTCCGTTTTTATCAGCAACATATCATATACGCAAAACACAACATCTTTAGATATAAGTTTTGATACATTTTATACAAATGGAGCGAGATAAAAATTTGTTTCGATAATAATTATGACATAAATTTCAGGATAATTTTTTAAATATTGAAAATTACTGTTTAACTATGTCCAGAGTGTTTGTAGACGTAATTTTGAGGGCGCAGATGCCCTTGTGCCGCCCCTGATAAATATTACTGATCTGTGTACACATTTCCGATAGCATTTTTCAAATAGTATTTTAATTAAAGTTTGAAAACGAGGCATGAAAAATCGTTCTCTTTTGAAAAGGATTAAATTCGTATAGTTTTGATTTGACGGAGCATAAGTAGTATAAATCTGAGGTTAAGATCAGTATTTAGAAATTTTTTGTATAAATAATTTCGGTATGGCAGGCCTGATGTAACGAAGCGAATTTTCGTGACGCGTACCGCGAGAGCCGGGCGTAAAGCCGCGATCGTCGCGCCGCCGCGGCGGAAGAGGATTCTGCCTTGAAGCCTCAAAGAGTGAAGAGTGTTGTGACTGTGTTGAGAAAAAGAAGTTTAAGTTTTTTGGGTCGTCTACCCGTCTAAGTAACAGTTTTTTTTTTAATCACCGCCCCCAAGCGAGAAACCGTACCACCGTCACAGGTTTTTTTTTGTCGTTACCGACTAAAGTCGAAACAGTCGTGCACGCGTCGTGTACCACCACCGCGCTACCCTCCCGGGTCGCCGTACCGTCCTCGCGCGATTTCTAGGTACAAGGTCTCCGCCCCCAAGTCCAGGAGAAACCCGACCTGAAGAAAGTCACCGCCCAGGAGGAACGACTTTTTGTTTGTTTAATTTTTCTTGTAGTTAATTAAGACCTAGACGTAAGTTTTATTATTTTAGCCATGTAGCTGGTGGGAGGAAATCAACCGTATTTTTTGTTAAAATATCTCTTGCCGTCTTATTTTATTCTCATGTTTTCGCGGGCGCTCACCACCTGAGATCCGTATCTCCGGCTTGAGAGCAATCCCGGCGCTCCCTCCCCCGGAGAGGGAGCTGGCGCCCGAGCGACCTCCGCTCCTGACCGAAGGCGCCACTCCTGGCGGCGTGAAGGTCACCGCATAAGCTTAGGTCGGCCAGACGTGTTTGTTAAATCAGCGACACTAGTCGGCTCAAGGCTTGGCACCCAAATACGCCGCCACCACACGTTGTACTTCAGATAAGTCAGTACATAATTTAAAAAAAAATCCATTCCGGGCTAAAGTGGAATCATTTTCCTGCACGACCACATTCAGAACAACTTCTTCACCCAATACGTTGTTAACACTCATTCGTAAAAGTAAACAATCCCTGAGGAAATTATATATACTCACGAAGAGTACATACGAAACGTCAAATTTTCCGAAAGTATTGTAAAAAGAGAAAGATCAGATTAGAAAATGGTCTAGTAATGATTTAAAAAAAAAGTAATTAGCACGTCCCGGAGTGTGAGGGAAAGTAACAGAAACGATTTCTTATTTATTCTATTTTATTGTTAAATATTACGTAAATATAGGTATTTTGTCGTGAGAGAATATACTATATATAACTGTAGTTATATTACCTTCTTGTAGTTCTAAGATTTTAAAATAACGCTAGAATATTATTCAGTTTATGTCACCCATTGTTGTGTATATTTTTCGACAAACTTTCCCGGTAAACAACAAACAAAGATGAAAAAATGTATTTATCTAATTTTTGAGGATATCTAAAAATCTTGTGGCAAGAGTGGATGTTGGAATTTGAACGTGACTTGTTCGTATTTCTAGAACCCTTTCGAAGGTACAACAGTTGTACAAAATATGTCTCACTAATAATAGTCCCAACATGATGTAATTTGAACTTCGACACTTTAGTTTGATTAATTTAAAAATGGAAGTTTGCATTTTTTTTAACAAAATAATCACACTTTAGATAAGTAGTTAACTAGCAAATTTTGAAATAACGTTGTCATGTTTTTGTTGGGGATGAACAAACAAATTTCGGTCAGTTTTTAACGATCTACATGATAACGTGTCTAATCAAATCGTCAACAGACGGACAGAAGATTTCAGTTTGGTTGCTGATTTTGTCAGCGTTATTGGGATTTCAGTATTACAAATAGTAATATGCTATTATATTTTTGCTTTAATAACCATCCCTTATTTTTTAATTTAACGTCCAGATTTATGAAAAAAATAAAAATTGTAAAAATTTCAAAATTTATGTTAGAAATCACAAGACCGAAATGTTGTTAACGACTTAATGTGTAAGATGGTAAATCGGTAATCAAAAAACCGGCAAAAAAACGACCACCCTGTTATTATTGTATTTATAGAACTATTTACTATGTACGTACAAATTAGCTAAAAAAAAAGAGACAAATGAATACAATCACTAGTTAAAATATCATTTTTAAAGAGGTTTTGCAAATCTAATCGGTCATATCTAAATTATGTACAATATTATTCGTCAACGCTAATAGCTTATTGGTGAATCCATATTTTTTAGAGTTTTACTTTAACT